TCCAACAGAGTATTGCGAAAGTATAACTCTTATCAAGACCGCTTCTTGAGAGTTCAATTCACGGACGAGCTGTACAGAGGCAAGGTCTACAGCGATGCAGGCAACGAAATCCACCACCGCATTTACCGTGCCCTAAAACAAGGCATCAAGATTGGCAACCGCACCTACGAATTCCTCGCGTTTGGAAACTCGCAAATTCGAGAGTGCGCTGCCTACTTCTTCTGTCCGACCGATCATCTTTCATGCGATCAGATCCGAGACTGGATGGGGCACTTCAACCATATCAAAAATGTCGCCAAATACGCTGCTCGTATCGGCCAGTGCTTCTCTACAACGCGAGAAATCCGAGGTGTCACCGTTCCACAGATTGTACAGATGCAAGATATCGAGCGTCAAGGCTATTGCTTCAGCGATGGTGTCGGCAAAATTTCGAAGCTATTGGCCGAAATGGTAGTCCATGAGATGGGCCAGGATACGGTTGGAATACCCTCTGCTTTCCAGTTTCGCATGGGTGGCTGCAAAGGCATGCTAGCTGTCTGGCCTGATGCCAAGGGCCTCAACGTTCATATTCGACCTTCACAAGAAAAGTTCAGGGCCCAGTTCAACGGCTTAGAGATCATCAAGTTCGCGCAGTTTTCACCAGCCACGCTGAATCGACAAACCATAACCATTCTTACGACGCTCGGTGTCAAGGACAGTCCGATATTGGATCTTGCTGAGCAACAAATCCAGGGCTACGAGAAGGCTATGAAAGACCGAGTTGCCGCTGTAAGCTTACTGGGGCAATACATTGACGAGAACATGACATCTCTAACAATCAAAGATCTCGTCTGCTGGGGCTTCATGGATGCAGAGATTCAAGAGCCGTTCGTGCTGACAATTCTGGATCTCTGGCGGATTTGGTCTATGAAGCTGCTGAAGGAAAAGGCGCGCGTGGTGGTCGATCAAAGTGCTTTTCTTCTCGGTTGCCTGGACGAAACAGGCACACTGAGAGGCCACAGCCAGGCAACTGAGGGGAAGAATACCAACAACATCGAGGACTTGCCGCAGATCTTCCTTCGAATTCCGAAACCACAAGATGGCGAATTCTACTGCGTCACCGGCGTGTGCATCGTGGGACGAAACCCTTCACTTCATCCAGGTGATATTCGGGTTGTGGAAGCGGTTGATATCCCTGACCTCCACCACCTCCAGAATGTTGTGGTGTTTCCAAGCACCGGTGATCGAGATGTCCCTAGCATGTGCTCCGGGGGTGACCTCGACGGAGATGATTTCTTCGTCATCTGGAACCAAGACCTCATTCCCCAGAACTGGCACCACAAGCCTATGAACTACATCGCACCCAAGGCCCCGAAACTGAAGCGAGATGTCAAGGTATCAGATCTGAGAACATTCTTCGTTCGTTATATTCAGAACGACTGCCTGGCCAAGGTTGCAACTGCACATCTAGCTCACGCCGATCTCTCTAAACAAGGAGCGAACGACAAGAAATGTGAGTTAATTGTCTGCGAGTAACGATGGATACAAATTAACACCGAGTTTCTAGGCTTGAGGCTGGCAGAGCTGCACTCCAAGGCGGTAGACTACGTCAAAACTGCAGATCCAGCTGAATACCCTGACGAGCTCGATCCCAAACAGTGGCCGCACTTCATGCGCAAATTTAATGCATACAAATCCCAGACTGCGCTCGGCAAGATCTTCGACAGAATCGTTGAGCAGGAGCTCAACCCTCTCTACGACAAGAAGTTTGACGGAAGGGTATTGAGAAGGTTTGAACTGCCCGGAGAACTTCTACAAAAGGCTCGCAAGATCAAAAATCAATACGACACAGCTATGCGTCGTCTCATGAGTCATCGCGACGTTCACACCGAATTCGAAGCATGGACAGGCTTCATCCTGTCAAAACCCCGGGTTGGCAGCGACTACAAGCAGCAAGAGGACATTGGTCGAGAATCAGCGGCACTCAAGCAAAGATTCCGAGAGATTTGCTACACAGAGGCCGGGAGCAGACGGTTCGAAGACTTCGCCCCTTTCGTGGCTGCAATGTATCAAGTGACCGAGCAAGAGGTCAATGCAGCGCTTGCAGACGAGTACGAAGACGAAGATCACAAGCGACAATCGATGCCCCTGATCAGCTTCCCGTGGATCTTTCACTGGATCATGGGGCGCATCGCCACAGGCAAGGTCAAGATCAAGCCTACCGTCGACCCCGAAGCCAAGGCGGTACCCATGAGGTCGTACCCTATTCGTCGATTCGAGCAAGATGACAAGGATGCCCATCAGGAGACTCATCTCGACGACGGCAGAGTGGTGCACCACGGTGACCTATTGGAGGTATTTGAGAGCATCACGAAGGAGGCTTCCGGAGTCTCACCGTCACCCGATGAACGCGATGCTGCTACTGGCCAGGAGGAAGAGATACACGTTGAAGAGGAAGACACTGCCATGGACGCCATGGACCGACTGATGGAGAGTGCCTTGATCTAAGGATAGTGAGGCGCCGGACATGGCTTGGTTCTGCTGCGACACGGGCGTTTGACAGGTCATTCCCGTAACGGGAGTCATTAATCATCGACAACGGAGGAGCCGGAGGAGGAGCAGCGATAACGAAGGGGGAGGGCTTTTCTGTGTCACTATTGGGCCTCGATAGTTTCCGAAACAACCCCCATCAGGCGACTCTTCTCTTCATTTTTTGGCTTCTGCCTCATGCAGATAGGCAGACAGGTACAGTTGATGCACAACAATCATCAGGTTCGCTTCTTGACGCACAAATCGCCCGTTTCCCAAATGCCCACTGTGACCTTAGGGCCCAGGGGTGGTGGTGGTGAAGTCCCGTTTCCGGCTCGTGTCTTGATTACGGATAGATCCTTGGTTTCCCGTACCGATGGAGGGTAGTCAGGCAGGCAGGCGGGTGAGTGAGAATGGGTATGGGCTGGTTCACGTTGCGTTGCCGCGGGAAAGTAGCCAGGGCTCAAAGGGGCGCCGGGGGGGGCGGGGGGGCGAGGAGGAGGTGACATTGAAATGTATGTAGCCCTACCTTCCACGACGTCCGTTCGGGGAGCCGGCGGGACGTTTGCCGGATGTGCAGTGCGTTAGGTTTTCCAGGTTCCATTGCTACCGTTCCCATGCTTCGACAGTCCCCGAAGAAATATCAGGATGAAAGGGGGAGGGGGGGGGGCAATGGAAACAGAAGGGATTTCGTGATGGCAGACCGTACGAAGTACGTTCGTAGCAGGCAGCGTGGGGGGAAAAGGGGGTTAGGTAGGTACGCGTTTACTTGGCTGCTCCTCCGAGGCCACCCCTCCGGTGGCCGTCCAATCCGAATTCGTGCACATCAGTCTAAAAAGGAAGTGTTTGGGCGGGACAGGATTTGAGTAGGAGGATGGGAGGATGATGTATGAGGGACGTTCCAAGAGAAAGAAGGGCCGTATAGACGGGCTTTTCCGGATCGTCAATGTCATCACTTTTTTGAAAAGGAACATCTACTTGGCACACGCGATGTCAATACCGTTTTCACTCTTGGTTGGGGGTTTGAGCACTCGGCGTGTTCCTGGTGGACCTGACTGAACCGTCTGGATGTAGACAACTAAGGTAGGCATGGAAATGTCGGGTTGCGATTGGGGCATCAGGTTTACTCCATTGTCCACTCCTCTCCCACCGGTAATCCTCCGGTACGAAATGCCACCCATACTTATTTGGCAGCCAGTGTCCATCCTCGCCTTCACCTTGCCTGTGTGACCTACATGTCTCCAACGTCCTTCCCACATGTTCTAGCCAAGCCCGACGACGACGACGACGACGGTGACAGACCTGTCTGTTCTGTTCTATTCAGCCCACGTTCGTCCACAACACAGTTGTCGATCAAACGGCGAAACCTAATCAGGCGCAGCATGCATACAGCGAGATCACTTGACCTAGAGGCCAGCGCACTGTCGAAGTGTATGGTCCCACTTCCAACAGACGTGTTGCAACATTCTGTTCCCACTTCTCCATACGATCCAGCAATATCTGATCAAATAAGAGGGGGACAGTAGGATCCCGCGTACGATTCCGTGGTCGGATGGGGTTCATCATTGTCTTGGGACCCAGGAAAGGGCCGTTCTCAGAGTGGCGTGGCGATGACTGGTACCAAGGCAGTGGGCTGGGGAACGGGGAGGCGGGCAAGGAAACGGGGGAAAGGCGAGCAAGAAAAGAAACCGAGAACGATGTGTGCTCTCTTCAGCTTCTTTCGTTTGCTCCACGTCCGAGCGGACATAAAAAGAAGACAAAAGAAGGCGGATCGAGAGGAGGAAATCGAAGTCGAAGTAGAAGCAGAAGCAGAAGAAGGCGGGGGGGTAAGGATGTTGCTTGATGGTTAGATCGCTGATTGCAAATCCCTCTCTCTCCTCTCTCTCTCTCACTCCCCTTATTTCTTTACTTCCTGACGCAAAGGTCTGTTCTCAGCACCCACTTCTCGCCTGCGCTGACCTCGCGCCCCTCGTGCTGTTGATAAGTGGAACATGTGTCAGTCTGCAGTGGCCTTCGCTGCGACCAGGTACGGTGGGTGGGGGAAAAAAGATCAAGGGACAGGCAGGTAGGGTAGGCGGAAGGGATGCAGGGGTTTTGTTGTGCTGCCCAGGTTGCTAGGTGGTACCATGGTGCAGAGGGGACATATCGAGTTTGGTGGTTGGGAGGGGAACTTTGAAGTGATGGGATTGGAGCACAGCCAGAGAAGCGTGAGAAAGGAAGAGGCAGAGAGATGGAGAGGCGAGGCCGCAGCTGAGGTGGCCGTGGTTGGGTCCTCGTTTCGCGCCACGAAAAGCAATGAGAAAAAAAAAAGGCACTGGAGAGCGAATTGACAACGAATACATCGTGGTGGCAACGATCAATGTTGCACAAAAAAACGACAGGTTCAGGTGCATCTGGCTATGGCCATGGTTCGCTCGGGGATCAGGGGAGGACGCATGGAGTTTTTGATAGTACCGAGGACTGAAGGGCTGAAAAATCTGAACAGAAGAGACTTACCAGCATGCAGTCGTCGCCATGCTTGTGTAAGAGGAGCATGCCCGTTTCGAGAGCGACCGGGATCTCCTCCTTAGCGGAGCGGCGGTCGTTGGGGAAGAAGACGGTCTCGCCGCCAACACAGCCCTCGGCGGAAGAGGTAAGATAGAGGAGCAGCGTCCAGGTTGTCTTGCACGTGACGGGTCCGGAGGAGGCGTCGATGTTGAGCGATACCTTGTTGGAATCGTCGTCTGCAAGTGGGGGTTCCAATGGTCAGCCTAGGTCGATCTTGAAGCTGGAGAGGAGGAGGAAGCCTGCACGGAAGACAAGTGAAAAGATACAGAAGAAAAGACTTAGAGTTCAGAAGGGAAAAACACCATAGGGTCGCCGGAAGACAAGGAAAGCATGGTGGCCCTGGTTCTCTCAGTGCCGAGTTTCTTGTTTGGATAGGAAGATGCGAGATGTCGAGGGGCATCGCTGGATCGGACTCGCAGGCTCCCGGACTCAGCTTCCCACATCATCCAGGGGCAGATAACGCCATGAAGCGGATCGGGATGGAACGATCCGCAGGGTTGTGGCTTCTGGGACGAATCGTTGGGTCTCTGGTGCTCGGATGAAAGATCGTGATGACTTGGAGAGTGCAAACAAAAGAGGACTGAGCGGAGGAGACAAGATATCATATATCATAAATGATCATCTGAAGGGTAGATCGTTGGCCCAGACACTTGTTGTGGGTCCCCGAATCGTCTCCCCAAAGGCCAGTGGTTCAACAAATTCACATCTTTCAGCAGGTTTCTCATGCAGAGTCGAAAAGTCACGACCTGCTTCATAGACACGGGTCTTGGATTCAAGGTGGTTGAGACATGCATAGTAAGGGAACCGTGGTAAAAGGTAGTGCCCACGGGAATGGGTCGATGAAGGTAATTGTCATGGGAAGGGGGAAACGTATGGATCGAGCACGATCAAACCCTCGTACAATCTGCTTAGTGACGGGCATCGTGGCATGTCCACTGGGACGGGGGCAGTGATTTTGCAACGGTCTCGTTACAACCCGACTCCGGGGATCCAGAAGTATCGCTCTGTAGAGAGCAAGCACTTCGTTGGTGTCAGGAGAGTTAGGTAGCTACCCATGGCCGTGTCCCCAAGACAAAGGCTTGTAGAGCTCTGGCACATCGCAGTCTTTGACCAGTGACAAATATGCGCAGCCTATGGCAATCGCGCGAGGACCTCGAAGCACTTGGCCACTGGCCTAGTTGCATAGAGCGGCGGAAATCTCGTTGGTTGACTGGCAGAGTGCCTAGTGCTCCCGGCGCCTGTGGCGTTGGGTGACAAGAGAATGATTTGACTATGAGACTTACAATGTGCATCGAAATACTGGCCCTTGGAGTAACGATAGATGCGAATATTGGGATTCAGACCAACGACTTCACCGCCCCTAGAGCAATCGATTCACGTTAGCAAGTCTCATGACAAGCCTTTAGCTTTAGCGAAAAGACCTCTACGCGAGCGGTTTCTTCTTCTGCGTGGGTTTCATGTTTGTTATAACTGTTTTTGGACGTAGGTATAATTTGATTGTGCGCAGACGCTGGCGGATCTAGCCGGAAGCGCATGGGATGCGTTGTTCGTGGCCAGGGTGCATTCGGAGGGCCGGGGGATGGGTAGGCAAGGTAGGGACTAGGGGAGTTGGAACAGAAGACAGTGGACTCACCATAAACCCTGAATGTCTTCTTGAGCAAGCGATTCGCGCAGTCCAGTCTCCGTCCACAGGCGTTGAGCAAAGGCAGCATCCTGCACTTGAAAACGGTCATTCACTCTAACCGCTTCTCCCCGCTTAGGCCGACCAGGGGTGGTGATCAGCGGTAAACCCCTCAGAAAAGTGACATAGGAACTGCAGAGGGATTTTGGCCAAAAGTTGCGAATCAGGACGACCTTGTCCGGGCAAGAAGCGAGCTGGTCGGCAACCAGATCGGTCACCGGTAACGGCGGTTTGAATTGGGGCCATGCGGGCGGTGCGGCAGGAATCGAGGCGATTGTGGTCAACTTTGCGTTGCCGCCGCCATTATTAGTTCCAAGGCCGGCCTTTGTCTTGCCGGCGGTTGAGTTTTTGGGTTTCCCCATGGTATTTGGCTTATTCCCCACGGTATACCGATAGGGTTCGTGCTGTCCCGTATGTACAGAAAGAACGGGACGTGTTTCTCGGGATGATGTGCAGCGGGCCAAGTAATATCAGGTGGCTTATGGTTCCTGACGGCTGTCTGGGACACAACTGAGGCTCCCGCTACTATGTAGCAAAGTGGCGTGGCAGAGAAGGGAGGGGTGGACGCCGACAGGCTGGTCTTTGCGAGAGACGTTGGACAGGGTCAAGTTCGTATGTCAAGCGGTTGATTGGCTGTTGAATATTGGCCCAATCGAGTCTGCAAATCGTTGTCGCGCTTGGTTTTGTGCTCCGAGAGATGCCGTTGGAGCCCTGATGATCAACCCACGTGAGAGCTGGCGGGGGTAAGCCAGGATGAGGGATGCTGAGGGTGGGACCGCGATTCGTCGGCTGGCTGAACCCTTTGGCGATGACGTCTAATCTCTCGGCAGATTGGGGGTTTCGTGCGTAGGGAGAAATATAACTTTGTGGGCAGCAGTCTGCAGAAAGAAAAGAGAATGATGTTGACGTTGAGTGGTTCATGATGGATGGAAGTGGGCTCACATGATGCAGGCGCTAAGGTACCTTATCCATAAGGTAGGTGCTAAAGGTAAGGTAGGTACGGAGTAGGTGGGTGGTAGCCTTGTGTGGCCCAGGTGGTTGTACTGTGTGCGGCTTACAGTGTGGACGGTGCTCTCGATGGCGTGTGCGGCGTGCCATCCTGGGAAGCCGCGCCTTACCCGACCGCCGCCGCTTCCATTTCTGAGATCCCCCGTGGACCCATGCCAGAGTGGATCCCATCTTCTCCGGGGGCCCGGGGGAGACGCCGCCGGGACCAGGGCCTGGCGATGGATGGGCAGCGCTAAGCATTGGTCTCGCTCGATCTTGAGAATCGCCTTTTCTTCCTCCCACTGAACCTGAGCCCTCCCTGCCTTGTCCTACCTTTCGTCATATATCAAACAGCCAGCCTCCGTCTCCCTATGTAACTTTTCATCAGAAAGTGACAATTGATCAAAAATCCCATTTCCCCTCTGCCATGTCTGGGTCTTCCTTGACATCTTCGGTATTCGTGACTAAAGCCTGCATCGTGTGGCGTGCTCCTAGCAAATACGACTTAGATTCGCACGCATCCATTTCCTCTCTGTCGGATTCCAGTCTGTGCGCAGCGTCCCGTCGCTTTGGCGCCATATCCTGTCGGCTCTCGCGACCTGGAGCTTGCTAAAATTGACCGCAACGCTGAAACGTAAGAACAACCGATGGGAGGGAAGAGGCAGCGGTTACCAAGTAGATAGGGTACGACGGGGAAAGACCCCCGACGGTGTTTTAGCAAACTTTCGGCAACGCGGTTGCTCCCGTCGCCCTTCGAAACTTCGGTCGTACAAGTTTGCGTGTCTTTGGGGTGGCCCGTTAGGCAATCGGATCATTGCATATCAAACGGCACTTGTTGATAGCTGATAGGCAAACATTGAACTTGGCCGGCATAGCACGGCCGCATTGGCCCATCGAATCGATCTGACAATAACACGATGCAATTTGGCAATCTGATCTGTGACCCAGTGTTGTGGTAAAGGAACCGTGGCACCCTAGGTTCGAAAAGTACGATAAACTCGCGCCTCGGCGATCGCGGAGATTCCCACCTGCACTGCACTGCATATCGAAAAAATCTGGTCCTTTGCTAAAATCCCTCATCAACAGCAGCAACTTGGATTTCACCAAGAGAAATCTTCTGCTGTGGATAGGCGTCACTTTTGGCTGGATCCTCGACGTAATTGGGTGCTGACTTCGTGACTATTGCCTTTCCTGGCTGAGGCGCTAGATCTCGTAAGAAGTGATATATGACAGGACCCGACGAGTTGTAGGCTTGTCGCGTCACAAAACCTGCCAACCTCCTGATTGATTTCTGCACATCTGACTTCGTTACTCGCTTTGACCTTGAAGAACAGGACTCATCCTTGTTCGTCGCAAGAGAGTTGTCTCGCGCTGTAAGTCGTCTCCCTCATAATGCGAGACTGCAGGTATCCTTCTTTGACCATGAAGAAGACAATCAACGTGTGATGAAACCGAGTTTGACCTGAGACAATCCGGTCAATTTGGAACTCGTCAGGAACCGTGAGCCAACACATGTCTCCCATCCAACTCAATTGCGGCTTGTTTGTCTTGGAGTGTTTGTCAAACCAGGCGCCCGACTGTCGGGACGCCGTTCTCCTTGATCGAGCGTGCGGAGTAGGGTATGTTGAGGGAGGGGAGCTCTGCCGTAGTCCCCACAGACGACGACTGGCAGCGCACCCCGCTGACGATGCTTTTGGGCGATGCGCTATATCTCATTTTGCGACTGAATCCGAAATCACATCTCACGAACATGAATGCGATGACTTCACCCACTTTGTGCCCATTCGTAATCCACCCCACGAGCACATGATGCCTCGACCCAGTGTTTTCATCATTTTGCAGATTCTCAACCTGATGCGCCCGTCCACAGCCTGGATCGCTCTGGTTCTGCACGAAACCCACGATCGCAATCTACCCAGTTCCTTGTCATCGTAGCACTATTGACGACAACGTAACGGCGGTATTGTTGCTTTCGGGCTTGCGTGAGGTGCGGCCGGTCCAAACAAGGGTCGGGAGCTAGGCAAGAGATGGTATTCCACATGCGAATGGACTGTTGTAAGTTTATTGTGGTGACATCGCATCGGGTATCAGCAGGATCAAGTGCTTGTCGTCTTCAGCACAAGGTGAATGAAGAATCCGATTTTCGAAAGGCGGCCAGCCAGAAAGGTGTCGTCGATAACGATCGCGTTTGGTGTTACTGTACTATTTGGACGTTTGCCGAGCCTGCCTGCATTGGGCGCCTTTTGCCAGCCATCGCGCGCATGCGCTGGGGAACCCAGCAGCTTGGTGCAACCAAAAACCGACAGCGTGTCACGAAATCGTCAGAACCCATCAGCGATCCAGCAATCAAGATCTCGGACAATCGATCGCTGCCGAGACAAGCATCTCTTCAGGTCTGTTTGCAGTTGGCGAATGAAGGCCTCCGAGCTGGGGACATGAGTCGTAAAACAAGTAGGCCCGTGAGGCGTCGATGGCGTGTAAGTGCAGGTAGTTGAGAAACGACACTTGATCTGTCATTTTGACGGTCTTTGCACAGGTACTTGTTGCTGGAAAGCCTTTGAGCATCCAGTGGACAAGTGGAATGGGCGGCGGGGTCTAGGCATCTCGCCAGATGCAGCCATCAGCGAAGCTGGGCAGGCCCCGGGGAAGGCATCCGACCATCTGACTGGCATGTCATCTGCAGGTGATTTCAACTGATGGGAGCAGCCGTTGCAATGTGGGCTGTCATCCCAAGATGGGGGGGAGGCAGATTGGTCGTATCTTGCGGGCCATTTTGATTGGGCATCGTGATCATGGGGAGAGCCGTGTGCCATTGCTCGACAAGGGCTTTAGCGCAGCCATCTGTTCCGTAGCGCCATGGAGCATATTAGACCGCTGCGACTGCCAGCAGGTCATCTGCAGAGGCCGGAGGGGAGGCCGGATGGCTTTCGCGGACGCAATCTTGAGGTTTCCGCCCTTCTTAATATGCCGTCCACGCTGTGGCTTGGCTGCCGCAGTTGTAGTTGCAATGGCAAGGTACCTGACGAGTCTGGATGCGTGGCTTCTGGAAGTTGTGTATGTGGTGTTGACAGTGGGCCAACGTGCATTTCGTCCGTAGCGAACGGTAGCATTTCGCGAGTCGCCAGCATGCCGCGAAATTGCAAGATACAGATACGAGGGTAAGGAGGGTATTGGCAAGAGATTTTTTTTTTCAATTTCAGTTGGGTGAATTCGTTTGTGTCATTGTCTTCTTCTCCTGCGATTGCTGATGGAAAGATGTAGAAGCAAGACACTACGCTGAGGGAGAGAAGGAGATGAGATCGAAGCCCAGGAGCATCGCTGAAACCTGGAAGGAACGTCGATTTGAACCCTTGGCCGGCACTGAAGCCGATGCGTTGCGGTATACGTACCTGACTTACATAATGCACACAGCTCACAGCCCGCTTAGTTGCCCGTCAAAGGTGTATGGACCAAACGGAACGCAAGGTCTGTTTTGTTGCATATACAGGTACAGGGCCCGAAAATTTTAGTGGCGGGAACTTCCTTTCCCCGACTTCCAATTCAGAGGAGCTCCCAAGTCTGTCCCGCCAGAGCTCCGCTTTACCTCCCCAGTCTCTCAACACCAACCGCGCAAGGGACTCCATCGACACCCGTCTCGATCAATTGAACCGGCAGATGCCGTTCTGAGCTTGGTGAGCTGCTCCGAGAATGCCACGATGTTTTTGTTTTGTCTAACAGTAGTTTCAATGGAAAGGGGTATAATCCGATGCTCGCGCAACTCTCCCCTTCCGCCATGGCTTCCCAGAATGAGTCGCCTGACACTCGCCCGACGCGGTCGCAGGCCCAGCCAACATCCTCACCTTTCCAATCGAGAGCCGCGAAACAACTTGGTCTCTTTTTCGCCGGCGCCGGCTTCTTCGTATTTTCGGCAATGGTTACCCGACGCTCCGTGGCCCGCAAACAACTCGCCGCCTTCCCGAAATTCTATCAACCTAGCCACTATGCTGCGGGCAAACAAGGGAATCCAGAGGGTGGCATGATTGCCGTCGAGGCTTTGAACCTGGCCACACTGAACGTCATGAGCTTCGCAATCATGATGACTGGTGGTGCTGCTTGGGCATTTGACGTGTCTTCGGTCGACGACTTGAGAGAGATGGCTAGGAGAAGCATCCGTGGAGCGGCTGGCCAGACGGACGAGGCAGCTGAGAAGGAGTTCGAAGAATGGGCTGCAAATATTTTGACAAAGTTCGGCAAGATGCCGGAAGAGAGCAAAAAACAAGACGACACAAAGACCGAGGCCGATTCAAAGACAAGCAAGTAAGGACGGCGAAGTGGCTACTTCTAGACCATGTTTATCCTCTCTGTCGCGAGATGCGGACGCTCCCTGGGCAAGCCTCACATTTGGTTGCTACCAGATCGTTTCCGCCGCGACAAATGTACAATTGATAAGGCGAATATCGCCAGATAAGACACATCTCACCATCAAGCGACTGAACAGCTAGTACTGCCCGCTCTGAGCTAGCATTTCTACCCAGCAAGAGTGCTGGCTTTCGTGGGCAAGCGAGACCGGACGGGGTCTATCGAAATGAAGAAGCCACCAAGATGGCGGTGTTGACTTTGGTCTCAACCTGTGGCGGAAATTCGGTGGCCTCGGTCCATGTCTACAACGGGGCTCTGGGTTCTGCACCGCGGCGTTCCTGGTAGCATACGGATAGGGTGATCAGTTATGCTGTCTTAGAGCCAAGTCGGAGCCCCCAATTCGTGGACCGCAAAGACTCGATAACTTCATGGGAGAAAGGGGTTTAAGCCCATGTTCGACTTGTGAAATCTGGCGGGGTCACCGCTTAGAAGCTAGTGGCTGAGGAGGTTTTGCAGGCGTCCGGCTACTCCACGTCCGCGCAGTCTGGACGGTGTTCCGGCATGGTCGAACAACCAATGGCGTGTCTCGCCCTATCACTTCTCAGAATTTCGCGTTCCATGTTCATGACATTTCTTTTGAAATGAGTCTCTCTGTCTGCACCGAACAAGCGCCATGATATGCGGCCGCGAAGGATTTCCAGCTATTCAGACAGCGTCAATGGCGTTAAAAAAGTCTGACAGTTGGATACGGTTGTCGTAGATGATGCCTTTTTCCTGCTCCCGAGATGTTTGACTCGAATCTCTTTCTTATGTCAACTACCAGTGATGATCCAAGTCCAAGTGGCCAAAGACGAGAGACGTGGTCGATACGAACTGGCTGAAAGCCATGTTCCGATACACAATGGTGCTTGGTACGCAATTGCGAAGGCACTGGCTGGCTTACACAACCGTACACAACCACACAAGCGTGACAAGCCAGTTCAAAGCAGCCAGCCAGGTCTTGAGGGTGGAGAAAGGGTCCGAGACAGCCATGGCGGCATGGCTTTGCTACCTATACAAATCACACCCCAGTCGTCCCGGCCTGCCCCGTCATGATCCCTGGTCTGTCGTCGACAAGGATCTGTACCTTACGGCCCTAGGTACCTAGCAGATCGCCCTCTAGTGCATCCTGGGATTTCTTCCACGTACACGCCCTTACCCCTTGTCCCTACGTCCGCAAGAGATGGGAGGGTGTCGACTGGGATTGCGTACGAGTTCATTCTGGCGGATGTGCGATGAGGCTTCCGCTGCAGCTCCTCCTTGACCCATGGTATGGGTATCGGACCCGAATCGATGCCAAGTCGCATATGGTACAGTCAAGTGCCCTAGGCGTATGCGTTCACGCTTCTCTCATATTCCGATTTGTGTTATAAAATTCGTCACTTCCTCGTCAACACTGCTGGTCACCGCTCCTCCATGTTTCTTCACCTATATCACCCTGCCTGATATTGACGCTTCGACGTTGTCTTCGCACACCATCTACTACTCTGTTCACAGTGTAGCCTGGTCTCGACTCATCCACGGACGTAACGCCGACTCTCACCAAGCTATGTGCCACGCCGAAAACTATTAATCCTCGTGGTGGTGTTGATATTTACCTTGCGGCCTGCCCACTTCTTTCTTTCCTCTTTTCCATCAGACTAGCAGCCTTCCTTGGAAGACGATATGTCACATAATACGATCCTGGATAGCGATCCAGTCAACGCAAACATGCAGCCGGCGCATGGCACGCTTGTCCATGGCGGGCGATCTCTCAACGGCCAGGAATACCAGCGAGGTGATCCGGTGGCCATCGTGGAGAACGGCACAGCAGAGGACCTTTCAGATGCGCTTCACATTCTCAACCTCCGGACCAACCAATGTATGCTCGTGCCTTTGAAGGCTGTCTGCTGGGTCCCGACTCACACTGAGCAACGATCCGGAACCACTTTCCTGCTTACATTGTACGGCCCGAGCCTGGATTTCCGCCGTTCCGTCTCAGAGCGCCCTCAGATGGGATATCGCGGCATCGCAACGCTCTTTGGCTCCTGTGTCTACGTTGGACGCGAGGTCATGCTGGAGGGTAACGCATCAAGAGTCAATTTGGAACCCGCCAACAGAGTCTCCTTGTTTACGGCCCAGTGGGACGCACTCTCACTCAGCACGGATGTGCAACAGCCTGCATTGACTCCTTCGGCATCCTCTTGCGCATCGTCCAGGAGCCCTTCTGAGTCGGGGGACGACGTTCCTCCTCCTCGGTTCTACCGTGTGCAAGGGCGTCGAGACTCTGCTATTGAAATTCGAGACCCTGATTCCCCCATTTACAAGTCATCTATGGGACGAATGGTGCGCACCCTACCTTGAAAGCCACGGAGTTCCAGAACTTCAGCTGACCGCTCTTCAACAGTCCGCTTCACCTAAGCCGTTCCACATCCCCACCGTATCTTTCGCAACGAAGCCCAACACTCGTATTATTGCTGAAGCACCGAAAGCTCGACCATACGGAAGCAGCACCTGGTCAGACTTAGAATCTGATGACGAGTTTAGCTTCGACATCTGTCCATCATTCAGCCTCGACCCTGCCTTTGCTGACAATCTGGACCTCTGCATTGGCGGACATCACATGGACGGCATGATTGCAGACGCCGATCTCCAGGTCAACTTTGTTTTTATGCCGCAGAACGAGAATAGCAACTACGTGCCTGGACAACATGACCAGCAAAGGCAGGGTGCTAACGCTCAGGAGCCTCTGTGGGTCACGCAAGGCCTCAACACAGATAATGGCAATGCTTGGGATACCTTGCAGATGCCACCACAGCAGGTTCCGGAAATGCGGCAACCCCAGTTGCCAATGCCCCAGCGACAACAGGCGCTGCCCTCGAGGGCAGTCAGCCATGGCGACTACTACGAGCAGTATCGCCTTGCGGAGGAGCAAGGCAGCTCTCACAGCCACAATGGACCCGTGGGCCATCATCCTCCGCAACCGGAAGCTGTTCACCTGCAAAATGACCCTCGCGCCAGCTACTTGCCTTCTCAGATTCCTCCTTCACACCCTTCTCAGCCCCTTCAAGATTTCCAAATGCACCCGCGGTATCCGGAACAGTCGAACAGACTCCCGATGCCAGGCCCCTCATTCCCTGCGCCTCAAGAGGTCCATGTTATCCAGAGCAACCGCCCCACATCCCGGCCATCATACCCCCTCCCGTCAAGCTCTTATAGCCCGGTACAAGAAGGCAGCTTGCCTTCGACTTCACAAAGTCAACAGCCAAGGCGTAGTCCGCGTCCTGACGACTCTCGCCCTTCAAGCACACGCGGGACGCCAGTCATGGCTCGCCGAGCACCAGCACAACCCGTTCATACGTTTACGCCGAGTGGAATCATCGATTCCTTCCGACAGAGCACACAAGCTCACATCAGCTCCTTGGAGAGTCATTGCGAGCAATTGCAGCAGAGCCAGACCAGCGATGACCAACTCCGTCAAGTGAACGAGTCGCTTCAAGCCGCTCGACGAAACAACGAGGAGTCTTTGCAGCTTCTCGGCCTGCTTCAGCCTATCACCGGTATCCCTTTAAAGGGCACAGAGAAGAGGCTTCAGTCGATCGCTGATCAGATCGTTGATGCAATCAAGAGCCTGCTTCCCGACGGCAGCGATGGTTCTGGCAAGACGATCGAACAGTTGGGCCAAAAAGTACAAAGCCTCAAGGAGTTCATCGAGTACGTTGAGGGAGTTCACCCTGAGGTGGTCAAGCGCCCGCAGGACCCCGCGACAGCATCTACGGACAAGAGCCAGACTGTCCCAGTCACGACTGCGAACCGGGTCCCCTCGGCTCCCGCGTCCGTTTCTTCTCACACCGCGGATGAGTCTGACTCCTGTCGCTGGGTAGACGGCCAGGCTACACCCCCGCCGGATCGATCCGCAGCAATGGCCTTGAACCGAGACCGCTCGCGCATGTTCCGGGACATGACTGCTGCTCACGGTCGTCGTCCCGAGCCTCGCATTAACACTGCTCCAGAGTACTATGCTCCTACCAGCTATAGCCAGCCGTCATCCCGAATCCACTCGCCGCTTGCTACGCATTCTGCGCCTGCGGAGCCTCCCCATGCGGCTGGTCACGGTTTCTTCCAACAGCCTCTCCCAACACAGATTCAACAAACGATGCCCATCGCCGACTTTGGGACCCCGCTGCAGGAGCGAAACATGCAGGCCTACCCGCCTCCCACCTCGGTCGAGATGATGCGACCGATGCAGCCCGTGTCGAGCCTTCCACCTCAGCACTACACAACGCAAGAAAGCAACTTCTACCTGCGAC